CCCCTCCGTGTCATAATTAAAATTCTAAAAAAAAAGATTTAGGGCTTGTTCACTTTGCTACCTTTTTCAACCTTATCAAGTTTTGTCATTGCCAAATTTTGGTAAGGTTGCCAAAATTTTGGTAAAGTTGCTAAATTTTGGCAAGATTTCATATGTACTTACTAAAATTTGACAACAAACTAAACGTAGCTAAAATTTTGATAACTTTGCCAAAAATTGGTATGGTTGAAAATGGCATCAAAGTGAACAGACCCTTAGAGGGAGAGACGTCCCCCAAACATTTTTTTAAAAATAAATTATGAGCATGTTCGGGATTGAAACCACACATCCTATTGCCACTGCACTATCAAGTGCGTCTTCATAATTAAAATTCTATATGGCATTCTCTTCCAAATGGTGACGTCAGGTCTATTACGCACTTATTCCTTGTATATCTCGTGTGTATAAGGTTTATTGTTTTAGAAACAATGCACTGGTATACTTTATATGAGATAGCCACTGTACTTTCCGGTTGATTAATTGGTCCTTGCATAAAGAAGTTAGAATTTGCAAGCTGGTCCAAGATTCCCAAGTTAGCTTAAGTGAAATGGCCACAATAATGCAATATGCTCGCTATTGGTTCTTTAAATTTTTCACCACGCATTGTCATAATAATCACATACGCAACCATTTGTGTGTACTCCGCAGCTATAGACAAGATACTTATGCTAACTTGGATAAATCTTCAGAACATATGTGCACACATATATTGCTGCAGGCATAAAAATAGCTAAGAATCAAATAATTGCAAGCGACCTTCACATCAGGATGGAAAAAAGATATGCCAATATGCCATAAACCGTCGTTCCATCAGAGAGATACTCCATATAAGAGGATATCAAAGCAACGCAATAATGCAGCTGAAACGTGATGCACACATGCATACTGAATTGCTGATGCAGAAACTGAAGAAAGCTTCAGGACATATAGATATGCAGCCGGCGGCCGGCCTGCAGATTGAAACGAATTAATAAAGCTATACGATCGAGGGGAAACTGTTTTAACAGATCAAATGGATGTCCACCCGTTTATTGCATGTTACATGATCGAGAGGTCGTTGCACGACGAGTCGTCGATATATACATCGATCGATCGATATATATGAAAGGAGGAGCTCCAGTTCCATTGCGAGCTACAGCACATGCAGTCGTCGGAGCAGCTGATCATCAGAGCAAGCTAGCTAGCTACAGTAACTGACAGTGGTGTAGCCGACGCCGGCGACGTCGAAGGCGGACAAGAGATTGGGTCGAAGCTGGAGCATTTCAAGAAGTGCAGCTGATGCAGTTCGACGCCGACGCCGACGGGCGGATCAGCCGGAGGGAGCTCCGGGACGCCATGCGCCGCCGCGGCGACCGGTTCAAGCTAGGCGTGGTTCAACCTCCACCGAGCCGACAAGAACGGCGACGGCTAGCTTCCTCGACGACGACGAGATCGAGCACCTCATGGCCGCGCCCTGTACGTTCTACAAGGACATCTTGACTTCAACGTGCCGTCCAAGAAGGAGCTCGACTTGAAGGCAGGGTTTCTCAAACCGTCGGGCCAGGGTTACCGCGTCCCGGCGGTAAGCAGTAACTGTGACAACCGTACGAAACCGCACAAAATTTATCAAAAATTCAAATTATTTTTTAAATTTATTTGAATTTAAAGAGGTTACCACGGTTTTTCTATTACTGTAACCCCGCGGTAAGACTGGTAACTGCGCGGTTACCGACGGTAATGTAAACTCTGCTTGAAGATGCCGTCCAATATGGACCTCAACTTCAAGGTGTCGTACTACAAGAAGGAAGCGTGGAGCTAAATGCAAACTGTAGTTTGAGTGCCCGCTTGGGCTGAATAATGTGTGTAAAAGCAGGAGAATTAGATGATACCGTGCGTTTTGCTATACTATAGAAACAATAGATGGATAGATGTATATGTTTAAATAATATAAAAATTATGTGAAGATAATGATTTGACATTGCTTGCATTTTGAGTTTTAAAAATACAACAAAATTATAAATGATATACCATATTTGTATGATATTTAAAAATACTATAGATAATTGTTAATGGGTGATGATGTAACACACTTATACGTTGAGCTTTAAAAGTTAATAGAATAGATGTCTATCGTGTGCAGTTACGATAGTGTTTAACGATGGTAATTAAAGATGAAAATTAACGGGTCTGATGATTGCCAGAATTTCAATAGTACCGATATGCACTTCTTAGGGGACTTCAATTGTGATGACATGTGTGGTAAAGCCCACTCTTAAAACAAATTAAGAAGCAAACTATAAATTTGTCACGATATAACTGCCTGTAAATTTGTCGATAAATTCTATTAAAAATCTATCAGATGTAAACATAGTACAATTATAGTGTAAATACACGGTTACTTTCAAAAATCCCATAATTACATACTATTTCCACAAATTCAAAGATGTAAATATAGTTCAAAATTTGGCATTATACATTTAGTTTGGATGTAGAGGTCAGGTTTTAATCCAAAATTTCAGAACAAGCATGGATGATCTGGCATGACGATATATGGAAAACAACATTGATAATTCCCCAGCCATGTGTAAGATTTTTCATTTTGTTTCCTTTTGATTATTGGCAAGTCAAGAGGGAGTCTGATGCTCTCTGCTGCTGGCCTGCCTACCGTCCCCAACTTGAAATTCATCCATCCAAATGATCCAATTGTTGCCAAATGCATAGATATATTCTTTCTACAATCTACACCAAACTTTCGGAGATTCTATTCTTTTGAAGGGCCCATGCATCGTCCAATGGTGTTAGCAGGCAAAAGGAGCGTCCAATGGCTGCTACAATTAACAAACGCACAATGAAATAGAATAGCTTAGGAATGAGGTAAAGTTCATTGTTTCTGAAATTTGTTGTATTCTTTCTATCACAAAATATAGCAAACTAGTACTGGATTTAACACATCGATTGGATGGAATACTTTCTAGGAGATAGCTATCGTACTTTCGGTTGATTGGTCCTTGCATAAAGAAGTTTGAATTTACAGAGTTGGTCCAAGATTCTAAGCTAGCCAACTTTGCCTGGCCTGCTACAGTGCTCACTGTTGGTCACCACATATCGTCATTTGTTAGTCACGTATGCAACTATTGTATACTTCAGTGCTTCACACCTAGATAATTAAGATATATCTACACACACTTCTGTTAATTGTTATAAATATTAGGAATTCATCATATAGTATTTAATCAACAAATAAATAGAGTAAACCGTGACTACTTAAGTGTAAACTGCAGACAGATTACGTACTCTTAACAATAGCGATATGCAAAACAGACATGCTATAAGTGTAAACCATTGAAACAAACATATCTAACCATTTGCACATAAAACGAAATCAATAGAAATGAACAGAAGAGGAGATTGGCATACTCTCATATATTCTGTTAATTTCCCATGTGGACTAAACATACATTGTTGTCGATGAGTGATCCTCTCTAGCGGGATATCGTGAGATCCCCTTTTGTAAGTTCGGCCGGGGGCAGCGGGTGAGATTCGAGGATTCGGTGAGCGAAGCCATGTGATGTTGAGGGGGTCGAACCCCTCAAAGACGATGAGACCATAAGGGTTTATACAGGTTCGGGCCGCTAAGAAGCGTAATACCCTACTCCTGTACTATGCTCCTTGAGTGAAGGATTATAAGCTCTCCTTGTTGGAGTAAAAATGTGGTGCTGATCATCAGGGGCTAGAGACTGCTCTAGAGCGTCCAATGGATCGTCCCGGATCCCTCCTCCCTCTTTTACTAGGCATGGACCTCCTTTTATACCTCAAGGGGTTACCGCATGGGCCCAAAAACCTAGCTCCGGTGGAGAAGTGCTTTGTATTAAATGCATGTCTTGTCTCTTGACTTGGGAAGCAAGCGCACGTCATCTTGATGATGGGGCCTATCAAATCTTGCTGCCTGACACGAAGGGCGCCCATGTCAACTGCTATTAATGGGTGAAGACTTCCGGGTCCCTATTTGTACCGGGAAACATGAACCCCAATTGACCAGGGCGGATGGACCGACTCTGGCCGGGATGAGAGGTCAAGACCTCTCGTCATCATGACTGATGGGACAAGAGAGGGTGCGCGCCTCCTGACCCATGCAGTAGTACACCTGACACCCCGGGTCTCGTCGGTCATTCGACCAGTCACAGACCAATTTAGCGTGCGCTGCACGCCACATTAAATGCGGCGTGGCTTGCCTGCTCAAGTCGTCATTAATGCGGGTAGGTGAGCGCTCGAAGGTGGCCACCTAACCCACCACACGTGGCAACCCGCTGAAGGGGTCGGGGGAGCCCGACCCCTAGTCACATGAGGGAGTGGCCTCCGCCCCATCTCGGACCTGACTCCCCTCGGGGGAGGGCCACGTGGTATTGGGGGGCAGCCTCCTCCGTATGGTGTCTAGGAAGGAATGGTCGCTGCCCCACCTCGGGCCTGATCCCCCCTCGGGGGAGGGCTACGTGGCGCCTGGGAGCAGCCTTCTCCCTCTAGTCTCGGCCAGGGAGTGGCCGCCGCCCTACCTCGGACCCGACCCCCCTCGGGGGAGGGCCACGTGGCATTGGGGGGCAACCTCCTCCGTCCAATCTCTGGGAGGGAGTGGCCGCCGCCCTACCTCGGGCCCGACTCACCTCGGGGAGGGCCACGCGGCATTGGGGGACAGCCGGCCTCCTCCAACTAGTGTTTGGGAAGGAGTGGCCGCCACCTTACCTCAGGCCTCACTCCTCTTGGGGGAGGGCCACGTGGCATTGGGGGACAGCCTCCTCCCTCTAAACATGATACTCCGGGCCCATATCTCACACACACACTGAAGCGAACAGCAGTGCACATATACACAGCAAATGCAGCCTGCAGATAGAAACGAATATAACAAAGCTACACGATGGAGACGTACGTCGATACTGAAATTAACCTTCAGCTTAATTTCCGTGTATAAAAGGAGGAGGCAGCTGCATTGCTAGCTGCAGCACATATATATGCAGTCGTAGAAAGCAGCAGCAGCCGATTATATATAGCTAGCTACTAGCTCTAACTGATCGGCCGGCCATGGGGAAGACGGAGCACAAGAAGAAGCAGCAGCAGCACGGCGGCGATGAGGCGGCGGCGGCGGCCAAGGAGAGGCTGGATCGCTTCAAGGCGTGGCTGATGCATTTCGACGGCGACGGCGACGAGCATATCAGCCGGAGGGAGCTCCGGGACGCCATCCGCTCCGGCGGCGCCCGGTTCGCCACCGTCCGGGCGTGGGTCAACCTCTACCTCGCCGACAAGAACCGGAACGGCGTCATCGACGACGGCGAGATCAAGCACCTCATGGACCTGACCGAGAAGGACCTCGACCTCAGCAAGCTGCAGCCCACGCCTGCGGCAGCACGGCCGACGGCGACCGGCGCCCCGCCGGCCATGGTGGTGGTCTCGGCGTGCCAGTTCCAGACGACTCCTCTCGTCTCTCGTACCATTGACCTACGCAAATTAACTGCCAAACCAGTACTTTCTAGTACCGCCAATAATTAGATCTCGTTCAGTTTGGAGGGGGTTAAAAAGGATTAAGAGGGAATAATTCCTCACCGGGATAATAAACTCTATTCGATATTTCGATTAATGCCCAGGCGAGAAGGATTGAAGAAGATTCATTCCACACTAAATTATATGGTGTAGAATTATTCCCTCTATAATCCACTAGTCATTTTTTATCCCTGCCATCGGTCCTTCTGCTCTACGTGTGCACTCATTGAGCTCACGAACCAAACAAGCTAACAAACGAATTGAGTCAAACCAGCTTGTTATTATAATGAGCTAATCGATCGAGTCGGACGATATTCACCCCTGCATGCATACGGTATTATTATATGTATTTAAAAATATTTTTGCATGATGTTAGTTTTATAGTTGTTGATAATGTGTTGCGAAAGTAACCAAATAGTTCAAGTATAATATTAGAGAGCATGAAAAACTAATATTAAAATCTGATTAGACGTCATTTTTAATACTACAAATCTGGACAGGTTAGGACGGAGGGAGTGGGTCTTGTATCCTATATACTTATATAGTTCATCCCCACTAAGTGTAGTTAATGCTATTTCTCTCTTCTCTTATGAAGCCACATCATTCTAATTATTTTTAGCCTTTGGATGATAGATCTATGGTACAAATAGTCTCTTCTTTCTTGTATCATAAAACCATACAATCTCAATTGTTTTTTTAGTTCAAAATTCATAAGTATCAATTACATAAAATATGTTCATCTTGCATTATATTTGTAATCATATGTTAATTATATAAAACATAGGAAGTGATTTTATTTTGGTTTACAAAATATAATATAGCTTATTTTTACATACTATACAACTTAATTTCCCGCAGCAACACGACGGGGTATTCATCTAGTTTTAAAATAATCAGGGACGGACCCAGGTCCATGCCACCTAGGCCATAGCCCGGGACCTAGGTACTAACACTAGTACATAATTCATTTTTCCATGCGGTCAAAATCCACTTTTCCGTGCGGAGGTAGCGCCCATTTGTACCCAGGAGTCTGCGAAAATCAATATTTTCGGGTGCGGGTGGCCCAACCGCACGAGACATGGTGGTAAGCCATTAATAACACATATGATAATCCCTATGTTTCAGGGGCGGACCCAAAATTTTTTAGGCCTCGGACCGGTCCATGGTGTATTTTAATCCACACACTAAATACATGGTGAATTTACACACGTTTCTATGGGCTTTATAGAGGGATTATCATATGTGTTACTACTGGCTTACCACGATGTTAATTTCATGTATATATGATTGTCCCAACTGTTACAGTGCATGCTGATCTACATGGTACTACATGGGATTATACTTGAGCACTAGTACATGGTACTACATGGGGTTTGGTTTTGGCAGTGCTAGGTTTTTTTTCTTTTTCAGTGAATCAGTGTCAGTGCTAAGCTTTGCTCTTGCCTCAGAATAGTCAAAGACTCACGTGTTCAACTGGTGCGGTGAGTAAATATGGCTCTGGCGGTTATGTGGGAATGTGAAGTATGGTCAGGGCCTCTTGCTCCTGAGAGATCTGAAGGCCTGGCCCAAAATTGTAAGGGCCCATTGACTTCGTATACCAAACTGAAAGCTCTTGTGGGCCTCAAAAAGGTCCGTCAAGGCCCACAAAAATCAGCATCTGCTCCTGCACGCGGGCGAGCAGCTTAAAATTATCCCGAACTGATTCTCTATTAACAATAGAAAAAAAAATCGATCCTATATAAAACGTAGTACTAGCATCCAAGGCTCCAACCAAAACTCAAACTGAATTCTTGACATCCGGTGCCGTATGCTCGGATAAAAGTCGTGCTCCATTCCATTCCCTTTCTTGTCTCTTCCAAAATTTTCTTTCTTTTTCTTTTAAAAAAACGTGCAGATAAGAATTTCAATTCTCGGCAACAAAAAACCTTCAATAATTCCCGTGTCACTCCCCGTCAGCTCTTTCAGTTTAATCCACATCATGATCAGTTCATCTAGGTGTTCGTACATACAGAATTTATTTCATCCATGACTTTACCCAATTTGTCTTTTGGTGCAACATTCAGAGATTTTTTTTTCCCTCCCATCTCCCTACGCCCTACGCCGCTCGCCTATCGGAAAGTCAGAGAGGGACGCCGTCGTGCAGCAAACAGCCGCGTGTGCAACTGCAACAGCAAGAAGCGATATGATCGAGAAGCTTGCAGCTGCCGACGTCGCGTCGGACCAACCCAAGCCGGCGAGGGAGAATTAAGGCCCCATTTATTTCACAAAATTTTTTTCCCAACAAACATCACATCAAATATTTAGACACATACAGAGAGCATCAAATATAGATAAAAACAAAAACTAATTGCACAGTTAGGGAGAAAATCACGAGACGAATCTTTTGAGCCTAATTAGTCCATAATTAGCCATAAATACTACAGTAACCTACATATACTAATAACGGATTAATTAGACTTAAAAGATTCGTCTCTCAGTTTCTAGGCTCAAAAGCGAGATGGATCATGGATGGATTGTGCGGTGAGACCAGTTGATGATACTCGATGATATTTCGTGTTTTTGTTGCGGGATGTATGGATGAATTAAATATTTGTTATTTTCTCTGTTTTATATTATAAATCGTTTGACTTTTTTTAATGTTTGATCAAAATTATAGACAAATTTAGCAACATCTAAACTATCAAATTAGTTTCACTAAATCTAACATTGCATATATTTTGATAATGTGGTTGTTTTGTGTTGAAAATGTTAATATATTGTTTATAAAGTTAGTCAAATTTAAAGAAATTTTACTACGCAAAAATTTAAACGACTTATAATATGAAACGGAGGGAGTAAATATTATAGAAACGGCAAATGAATGTTAAATATGGATGAATTAAATATATGTTCAATATTATAGGAATGACAAATGAATGTTAAAATATTATAAAAAAATAATGCGAAGATGATGTACTATGCTTGTATAAGATTTAATATGCTTTAGAATGATAATTGCTATTGGGTGATGATGTTTAGTACTACTCTTACTTACACTACTTATTGGTCATTTGGTTTAAAAGGTCATTTGGTCCACGCTTTAAAAGGTTTTCTTCCGGTATCGGCATGTCTGGCCGATTGTGTTATGTAACAAAAATTATTTTTCTTCTAATATATTGACGTGCAATCATTTTGCGCGTTAAAAAAATTAAAAGGTTTTCATCAAAATTTAATTTTCTATTGCATTACTTACACCACTTATTCTAAGCTAATATTTGTTGAATTTATTTTTCAAATTTGTTAACTTGTTTTTATAATAAAACAGATAATTCATGTTAAAAATCTAATCTATAACCTACCAATGCAGAGCCAGTTTCAAAGATCCTTAATTTCTCAAAAACCAGTCTATGGCTCTACCCTACAGTAGTTACTCTACCCGTTGAATATACCACACAAAACTTTCTAGATAGACGCCTCCTCTCACCGACATATATATTCCCAATGTCTAACAATAAACATGTGCCATTGTTTGGCAAAAACATATATACCTCCATCGTTGCAGGCTGCAAGTCGTGCCAGAATTGAGTCGATGTTGGGGAGTAGTACTCCGTACTTGGTTAGGTTGGTGGATCATCAGACGGATGGAAGGTTCAGACTTCAGAGCCAGGCAGCCAGCCAAGCCAAGCCAGTTCACACCAAACTGCCTTAATTACCCTCCTAATAATAATCATGGTTGCTTGCAAGTTTTCGCTAGTTAATTCTAGGTGACTGTACAGCCAGGGTTCACCAAACTATCCGTAGAAAAAAAAAACTGGGCCGGGTTAGCGGTTTTTCAAAAACCGTTGACTCCTAGTAAAATCCCGCTAAATTTTATTAAAACCAATAAAATTCAGTGTGAATATTTATAAACTTATTAGAAAACCGAGCAATTCGTGTTATCGATTCGGTTCGAGAGAGTCCGGTTTTCGTGAAAGCCGGATCGGGTTCTGTTGGTTTTGTAAATTGTAAACCCTGTGTACAGTAGGATTGGTACGACTAAACTGACGACAACTTCCTGTTATCAACCAAGGCTCCTCAAAAAGCCAAAATTCAGGGAGAAAAAGATGATGTTTCAGGTGGTTTCAGTACTGTTTTTGCACAAGTTTGAATGGAAAAACAAGGACAGCTTTACTGCACGTAGTACGTCACCTTCACTGTTTAACTAACTACGTGTATCTGCACACATCATCACGTAAAAAGTTTGTCAAAAGTTAAACGTGTTACTCATTATCGGTTAATCGGAAAGCGGTAATTTGACATGTAGTTCAGAGTCTACTGTCTACATCAGGACAGGTTTTAATACAGTTTCCAGCAACGGGTTTTGGTGTTTAAATAAACATGTCATTGAAAAATTCTTCTTCTAGAAACACACAAGCCAATTAAATCTAAGGGAGACTAACACAAATACAAGCCACTTAAAACGGCATGCTGAAACTGCAGCTGATGAAAACGGCTGCTCTGTTTTTTAGCTCTTTCAGAATTCAGAAACGGCGACATTTATGCAGATTCAGAGCCCCCAAATCACCATCAGAAATCAGAACCTTGTGTGCGGGGACAAATTTCTAATTCTCCATCAAACTCTTCAACGTATTCTAGAACACAAAATGCTCTGCAGAAATGCCACATCTTTTGGTTGTTTGGAGGAAAAGGCGAAACATCATATTTGTAAATAAAATATAATTTGTGAATATTTTTTTATATATACGTTATTAACGATATAAATCAAAGACTAAAAGTTAAACTATAATGAGAAAACCTCAAAATCAACTAATTTATATTGAAGATTTAAATTTTAGCTAATAAGTACTACTCCGTCCAAAAAAAAATCCAATTCTAGCAATGAACCTGACACACAGAGTTTGTCTCTTTTTTTTTGACAGAGGGGTATAAGCGAAAAGATGAGGCAAATTTATGATTAAAAATTTAAATTTTAGCTGATAAGTATAAGCGAAAAGATGAGGCTGGCAGAGTACACCTTTTTTTTTTCCAACATTGCAGGCTTGCAGTTGCAGCTAGCAACAACCTTCTGCAAATCGCTATCGCCATAAAAATCCACCCACCCCTGTTAACGTATGCTGTTAACGTATGCGATCGAAAACTTTTCAGCCACGTGATGTTGGCAATCGCTGTTTGTGATCGATCTCATCTTGTAGTAGCAAAGCTCGTCGCTGCTTCGTTAGTCAGTCAGTCTCCAAATCGTCATTAATTAATCGCCGGCGCTGTGATTGATAGCCTTGCAAACCAGGGTTTGTTGGTGCTAATGATCGGTTGATTGATTGTGATCAGGTTGTCTCATGCATATCACAGAGAAATGGCCACACCAAAAATGTTTTACAAGTTGAATTTTAAGCGTGCACAATTCCTACAGTAATCGAGAAATTTTCCCCCATTTCGATATCATAGGAATGAACATATTTTCTTGGCTTCTTGTATCACGTTTCTTCAGAAAAGTATTTGCCATAACCTTCTTAAAAATTCCACATCAAATATGTCATACTATATCCCTGATGATATCCAAATTCAGCATTAAAAAAATGTCAAATGTATGCGTTTACCTACCGTCACCTACAGTATCCTACTATGGCAGAGATCATCGACCTTCCTGGATGACAACAAAATATGTGCTGTTTTTCAAACACAAACACCCAAACTAAATTTCTCTCTCTCTCTCTCCTAACAAAAATGTTTGGTGCCAAAAAAAATTAAATCAAATTCAAGTTGCGTATAAAGACCACATGGTCGATGTCTTAACGAGACGCCTTGTAATATCGTCACCCTCTCGAGCTTAGCTTCCTCCTACCTTCCTCCATCCTCTTCGTCTTCCTCCTCCTCTCGATCGATCGCCTCGCGAAGTCGCGAGCTAGCCAAGAATCTCATCTCCACTACATAAGCGAGAAGCTGGAAGAGAGAGAGAGAGAGAGAGAGAGAGAGAGAGAGAGAGAGAGAGTGAGAGGTTAGCTAGCTAGAGATGGAGGTGATGGTGCCAGTGATGGCGCCGAGCGCGCCGTGCAGCCCAAGAACGGCGGCGGAGCACCACCACCTGCCGAGCTACTGCTACTTCTTCTCGAGCGCGCCGACGAGCCCGACGAGGGCGAGCTACTCCGGCGAGGCGGCGGCGGCGGCGGTGGGGGTGGGTGAGGGGGATGGGGCGTTCGATTTCGCGTTCGGGTTCAGTGGCCAGCTGCGGGAGTCGACGCCGATCCTCGCAGCCGCCGACGAGCTCTTCGAGGGCGGCAGGATCCGGCCGCTGAACACGCCGCACCCGAGCATTCTGCAGCTGGTGGATGATAGCGCGTACGCCTCGCCTCGGTCGCCGGGGAGGAGGCGGAGGATCGCCGCCGCGGAGGCGGCGGAGGTGTCGTCGTCGTCGTCGTCGCAGAGAGGGAGGTCGGGCCGTGCTGCGCCTGCGTCGTCGTCGTCGAGCGCCTCGTCTCGTAGCCGGCGAGCCACGCGGTCTCTCTCACCGTTCAGGGGAGGAGGAGGCGGCGGCGCCGACGACGAGTACCCGTCCTCGCCGCCGTCGCCGAGGACCTCCATGATGCGCGGCTGCGGCAGCGGCAGCCGGAAGTGGAGGCTCAAGGACTTGTTCCTCTTCCGGAGCGCGTCGGAGGGGCGCGCCACCGGTGCCGGCAGCAAGGACCCGCTCCTCAAGTACACCATGCTCTCCTCCTCCGCCTCGTCGGCGGCCGCGGCGCTGCACCACAACCCGCAGAAGCTTCGCGGCGGCGGCGACGGCAGCGCGTCCATGCGCAAGGGCCGCGGGTCGACGGCGTCGGCCAGCGACATGCCGTACACGGTCGGCCGCGCCGCCGCCGAGGACATGCGGCGGCGCACCACGACGCCGCTGCCGTTCCACCGGAACAGCCTCTTCGGCTACCTCCGCTCCAACCCGGCCATCCACAGCATCAGCCGCAAGCTCAGCGGCTCCGGCTCCAATCGCGGCAAGACCGCCGCTTGAGCGACACGCGCCATGGCCGCCGCCGGCGAGTCGCGCGCCATACATGCACGATGCTCTCGAACCCAACCTTGCAGAGAGATGGTCAGAAAATTTGCCAAAATTCGTCCCCTTTTTTGTTTGAATTTTCAATGTATTCTTTCGTTTCCTGTGAAACCACAAGGTTTTTCATATACTAGTGTAGATATGTACGTAGTACATGGGATTCGCAAGAAATTTGGAAGTCCAAAGTATAATACGGCTCTCTTCAGTTCATCCTACACGTATATTCATATTCAGTCTCAATTCTGAAGCACTGTTTTAATTTTGAGAAAAAGAAAATCATTTTCATCGTTACAAACAAATACAGACAATTTTTGCAAGGTGAGGATTAAATTCCGAAGCGCCGCTCTGATCACGACACGTGTCCGGATTAGCTAACCAAAACCCGTCCACTAAGCTCATGTTTTAGCTTTTAAATTCGGGGAGATGCAGCTCATCGCAACATGGGAATACTGTTCTGAGATTCCATCGGATGTGTAATAACACGCACTGATGCTGCGAGATCGGTTTTGTAGCAAGCAGCTCGTGCTCTGAGCTGGTGAGAGGGTTAACATAATGTTTTCCAGTACTGCAAACTGTCACAACTGTTTCATTAGGTTACTGCAGGACGGAATAATTTGGGTTAAGATAAGCTGGAGGATCTGACATTCTTGGATTAAAAATTGCTTTGGATGATGGTGGTAATTGGCATGATTAGAGTGCAAATGTTTAGTAGTGGTGATACTACTAGTACTACATATGTTTAGTAGACGTGTTCTTGTGATGGAAGCAACTGCATCATCAGCCATGCATGCATTTTTTTTCCTCCTCTTCTTGGATTCTCATTTCTCCTGCCCTGCTTTACATTGTTAACGTTATCTTGCATTGCACAGCCCATTTCTCCCAGTGATCATGAGTTATCTTATCTGCATAGGTGTTCTGTATATATATATATTTGGACAGTGACAGAAACTGATTTCCATGTAACAACCAACAAATTATCTAGTAAAGGAACATATTTCCCCGTTCTAATTTATACTAGCAATTTAAACTTCCAAAATATATCCCAAAACCCACTCCCTATTCTCAACTAATCCCTCATTTAATTTCTCCGCTACTTCCCTATCTCAACCGCCCCTTGTTCAATTTTATTTTTTTAATACACATGCAAAATCTTAAAAATCATATTTTAGAATGAAAGAATTCGTTTTTCAAAAAAAAAAGTACGGAGTAACTGTGTGCATATAGACATGGGAATTTTATTTTTTTCTTTAATACACATGCAAAACCTTAAAAATCTTTATATTTTAGAATGAAATAAATACTTTTTAAAAATAAAAAAATAGTGATGGAGGTTTGGATTTGTTCTTTTTTTTTACTGTGTGTATTATATAGAGAGGTCGGGGGTTTCAGAGGTTGGAATGTATCATCTTAATATATTTGACTGGGTCTTAAAAGCTTTTATTGTTGAATTTTTAAAAAAATGGTGCGGAGAAACTGTGTGTATATAGACATGGGAATTTTATTTTGTCTGTCTGAAGAGTAACATGAGACACCACGAATGGAGATCTTGATTCCAGTACACAGGCAGCAGGAGTAGTAGTAACAGGCATGGGGAAAAGCATATGAACAAAACCAGAGAGCACAAATAATGATGATTTGTTACAGTGGAACCCTAATCAAGTTGCCGGTTGTGAATGTTCTCCAAAGGTCAACATCTACCAGCTGCACCCTTTGCCCCAGCTTTTTGACACAAGTTCGTGCATGTTATCAATGGCCAACTTGTGTACATGCAGGAAGCAGGAACAGTCAACAAGAACACACAACAACAACGGGCCCCTCCAAACCACATACCACCCAAACCAAAAGTCTTCAAGATCGATTGCAACGTTTCGTGGCACAGTTTGCAATGATCTTTTCCCGGCAGAAATGAATGAAATTCTGCATTTGAGTCCTTGTTTATTTCGCGAAAAGAAAATTTTTTGGTGGCACATTGGACGTTTGACCGGATGTTGGAATATGTTTTCGGATACGAATGAAAAAACTAATTTTATAACTCGCATAGAAACCGCGAAACGAACTTATTAAGCCTAATTAATCCGTCATTAGCACTTGCGGGTTACTGTAGCACTCATGGCTAATCATGGACTAATTAGACTCAAAAGATTCGTCTCGCGATTTTCTTACCAACTGTGCAGTTAGTTTTTGAAAGATTCGATGTAATGTTTTTGAAAAATAAGTTTTTTTGGAACTAAACAAGCCAATCTCTCTCGCGGTTTCGCCTGCAGCAACTGACCGGCAGTGTCGTTTTTTTCAGTAGGCAATTACCCTTCGCCGTCAGGCAAATGGCACAACCGCACAAGATTGAGGCGAAGATAGAGGGGAGATTTTGACAGGTTCATGTATGCCCCCCTGTCTGGGTTTCTGACTAATTCGTGAAATTCCCGCGTTCCAAACACAATCTCAGCAATTCTCAGCCTCCTCTATGTGAATATTTGAACCAATATACTGTAAATTTGAAGGGGCGACCAGGGTTTACGAAGGTGACAAAAACTGACCGATTTTCACGAAAACAAGACTTTTTCAGGCCGGCTTGAGAACATAAAATTTGAATGAATTTTACCTGGAGTCAACGGCTTTCACGAAAACAGAAAGAAACGCTTGCCCCTGGTTTTTTTCGCCGGGAGCTTACCCCCTGGTTTTTACTCCTGAACAGTTTGATTGAACCCTAGCGAAGATTAAAAAGAACACTTTAATTTGGATCTGAATTTAATCTCCAAGCACATGTTGTACAAGCAGCTACAAAAGCAAACAAAACTCAAATCCAACGCCATGCATCTCGTAGTACTACTCCTGAAATCTGAATGCATGTGTGATCATGTTTGGTGGGGAGGACTGTGGTCGGGTCCAATCCGGTCGGGCGCGGCAAACAGTTAAACATAGGCCGCTAGACTCGGACAGTTTTTGACATGATTTGTTGCTGCCAACCTTTGCTGCAGCAATGCCCATCCTTTTCTTCGCAAGAAAATTGCCACCTGTTGTTACTGTGCATGTCGATTCTCCTTGCTGGCCCTAGTACACTACCAGTACATTTAAATGTATACTCCTATATGAAAGCAATGAAGAGAGGCAGGCCAGATTGGCCTATGTGTGGTAGAGTCATGGAGGGACTAGCATTGGCAGTTCATGTTCATGTTCAGATGATCTCCTTCATGTGAGTGTGTTTGGTTTTGCATCTCAATTATGTATGGAGATTAGGTACTAGCAGAAGTATACAATGCAGCATTGTGGCACATGGTGCAGAGAACCTGAGGTGAAGGTAGTGGGAGTGAGGATCAATCAGGGTTAACACTCTCTTGCTTAAGACCTGAGCTGTTTACACTTTGCAGAGACATTTTTGTGAAAGTTGCTGTTCGGGTGGCCTTCAGTTCAGAAGATTTGGTACGGAGTAGCTAAGAGAGCAGTACTAAATAATTGGTGGAATTCTAGTCGACCCTGTACTTCTCTCCTAGTTTTGTACTCCTTCCGTATTAAAATATAAGCATTATTAGACTCTGACACATTCTCCGAGATACTATTTTGCTCAATAATATACTACCTTCATCCCAAAATGTTTGACGCCGTTGACTTTTTTTAAAAATATTTGACCGTTCGTCTTATTCAAAAAATTTAAGTAATTGTTAATTCTTTTTTTATCATTTGATTTATTGTTAAATATACTTTTATGTATACATATAGTTTTACACATATTACAAAATTTTTTGAATAAAACGAACGGTCAAACATGTTTAAAAAAGTCAACGGTATCAAACATTTAGGGAAGGAGAGAGTATATAAAAGTAAGGCATTTTGAATAAAAAAATTTGCATATTATTATAGTTTGTGTAATGATCAATCTAGTGACATTAATTTTACATGATTGATCTTTTTGTAATTTTGCTATTAATAGTTAAAGTTAAAAATATTTGACTTGTCACTATGCTAAAAAATATTTATATTTTGGGACGAAGGGAGCTCTGTGACACTGAGTTACCGACCGTCAATTTATTTTTGAAATGCTATCCTTGCTGCAGTATTAATCAACCCAAACTGTTGATTATTATGCTGATAAAAGAGAGACGCTGAATATGAAATCCACTTACTCCTCTATACGCAGCCCTGCACCAAACCCTCTCCCTTTAAAAAAAAGGAAAAAAATGATCCTCTTGATCTCACCTTAAAACATACACAAAGTATGGCTTATACAGTACCCCTCCATATTTTAATGTATGACGGCGTTGACTTTTTTTTGACAGACGTTTGACTTTTCGTCTTATTAAAAAAATTATGTAATTATAATTTATTTTATTGTGACTTGATTTATCATCAAATGTTCTTTAAACATGACATAAGTATTTTTATATTTGTATAAAAATTTTGAATAAGATAAATGGTCAAACGTTGGTTATAAAGTTAACGGCATCATACATTAAAATACGAAGGGAGTACATTTTATACATTTAGATGAGGGCATAAGATAATTGGGGCAATTGCGTTCGTGCCCCTACTTTCAATTGTAATTATGATTTTACCCTCACTTTTTAGGGTTTGCAATTTTACCCCTGTTTTTTAAAACGAAATCGCCGTTTGCCCCTATAATGGATGGCAGTTATATGGGACCCACAATTGTGAGGTAAAGAATTGAAAATGAAAAGAAAAAAAAATGATTTTTGATATATTAGATTACCGCTTTATCCTTGGAGGCATGAACTGACCTAAAGCTCTACCGTTCCCTATCCATTCCCCATTCCCCAATCCATGACAGGCGGCAGCGGCGGAGGCTCTAGCAAGCCAGTGCGGCGAGGCAAACGGGCGGCGGCGGGGCAAGTCCTCGTGGCGAGCCGGTGGCAATGGGAGCAGCTAGCTGCAACCTGCAGGGCGAAAAGGCGGTTGCGCAAGCAGGCAAGGTGAGGCGAGCAGGCGGGCACGCCGGAGCAACCAGTTGCAAGGCGAGCAGGTAGCGCCGGCAGCGGCGTGGCTCCGCGAGGGAAACGGGAGGCGGCGACTCCTTTGAGCCTGCGTAGCGAGGCAGGACTGCAGGAGGCACCGGCGGCTCCGCGTGGCGAGCCGATGAAGGCAAGCAGGGCAGCACTGTTAGTGCTCAGCAACAAATCTGGAATGCTTGTTTAGCTTCTTGATGAAAACATTAATTCCGAATGCTGCTTTTACTTTGTGGTATTTTGTGAGGCTTCTTTTGCATGAATATTCGTGCCATTTTGTCTTTGTCATATTATCAAGGTTGCTAGAAGTTCGTCAAATATCAGTACAAAACGGGGGCAAATTTCATGTCAAACTCCATCCTATCCAAACAGGGGGAGATACACATTTCAATATAGAGACGTAGGGCAAATATGCAATACCAAACAAGGGTATATATGTCATTTCACCACTGATTTAACACCGTAACTGACCATCCAAACCAAGGGTAACATGTTGCTTCGCTTTCAAAAAAAAATAGGGGTAAAATCGCAAACCTTAAAAAGTAAGGGCAAAATCACAATTACAGTTGAAAGTAGGGGCACGAATGCAATTGTCCCAAGATAATTTGATACGGTCTAACACGATCTAATGGTGGTGGTTAATTAACCGTGTGAAAGCACAAGCAGAGGAGTGCACGGATTAGTCAGACTCGTCAGAGTCCAAAACATTGACCAGTACGTGATGCTCGTGTCAGTCTCCGTCCCTCTCTCGCGTGCGTGCGTGCGTGCGGCTTGTAGCAACCTTGTACCCGGTGGTGGTCAGCTGGCTCGCTTCACCGACGACGAGTCGAGTCGAGACGACGACTCGGCCACAGTTGGGGCTCCGCTTACCGATGCATCCCTCGCGACCTGCCTGCGACTGCGACCACCACCCACAAAGCTTCGTGCTCCACAAAAGAATATTCTCCGACCGATGATGCACCATGACTTCATTCGTAGGAGTACTCTAGTGTAATCAAGCACCTAAAAATAATTTTTGAAATTTGCATTTTTTAAATTTTTGGCCTATTACAACAGGTACTGGTAATAAAGTCTTATTCGTATATCAGTCGGTGATGACCCAAACTCAAAGATATTGCTTCCTAGGATTCGTTTCTTTGTTTTTTGTTTTTTGATTCTCTTCATAGGATTCGTTAACCTCGAATTCAAGAGACACTTTTGTGTTAAAAAAATTTTCCAAACCACACTCTGCATTTCTGCAAAACGAAGCTGCTGGATTACTGGATGCCAAACTGAGAAAGAGAAGCAAATTCAAGAATAAGATCAATCAAACACAATGGGTCAGAAATTGCAGATCACAATGGAAAGGCCTTGCTGCTGCACTCCTTCTACCAACATTTCCTTGGGTCAGATTATCAGCCCCTGTGGGAATTCGATTTACTAGCGCTATACTCGGAAGAAGAAAGAGATTCGGATTTATTGGCTTCTCAAGGAATGCAAATTTCTACAGGAGATTTTGACAGCAATCAAAGGTATGAACTCTAACAGTGCACCTGGACCTGATGGTTTTGGCCCAAGTTTCTACTCTGCGACCTGGAATGTTATTAAAGAAGATGTCCTCAAGCTCACTACAGGGTTCTGTTCAAATTCAGTCCAGCTCGAAAGGATTAACAGAGCTCATATTGTTCTAATTCCAAAACCGGGCAAAGAAAACACAGTAGATGGCTACCGACCAATCTCTCTCCAAAATTGTTAGGTAAAAATCCTATCCAAAGTGCTGGCTCTTAGGCTACAAAAAATTCTTACAAGGATGATTCACATGGATCAGACAGGTTTTCTTAAAGGTAGATGCATCTCTGAAAACTTAATATATGCCACTGAACTGATCCAAGCTTGCCATGCAAGAAAATGCCAGACTCTTATAATCAAGCTGGATTTCGCTAAAGCATTTGATTCAGTAAACTGGCAAAGCCTGTTCCAGATTTTGTCGGTCAAGGGGTTTCCTGATAATTGGATTTCTTGGATCAAAAACTTACTTCAAACCTCAAAGTCGGCAGTGCTTCTCCATGGTATTCCAGGAAAATGGATCACTTGCAAAAAAGGACTTCGACAAGGGGACCCTTTATCTCCTTACCTTTTTATTCTCGTCGCAGATGTGCTACAACGATTGCTTGAGAGAAACCTGCAAATCAGACACCCTATTTATCATGATAGACCCTGTGCAACTATCCAGTACGCTGACGACACGTTGGTGATATGCCGAGCAGTTGAAGATGACGTCTTGGCTCTCAAGTCTGCCTTGCTTCAGTTCTCCAAGGCCACAGGTTTGCAAATCAACTTTGCCAAAAGTACTATGATCTCCCTTCATATTGATCAGTCAAAAGAATCGTCGTTGTCGGAACTGCTTCAGTGCAAACTGGAATCGCTTCCAATGGCTTACTTGGGACTTCCTCTCTCTTTGCACAAGCTCACTAGCACTGATTTTCAGCCGATTGTATCCAAAGTGGATAGATTTCTAGCAGGGTGGGAGGCAGCTCTTCTGTCACAGGCTGAACGGCTAATTTTAGTTAATGCAGTGCTCAGTATTGTGCCAGTTTACGCAATGTCAGCCTTCAAGCTCCCTCCAAAGGTTATAGAAGCTATTGACAAACGGCGACGAGCATTCTTTTGGACAGGTGAAGATGTTTGCTCAGGGGCAAAATGTTTAGTGGCTTGGGATGAAGTATGTGCCCCAAAAGAAAAAGGTGGGCTTGGAATCAAATGCCTAAAATCACAAAATGAGGCTCTTCTTCTGAAAAGATTATTCAACCTGTTCTCGAATGAGTCGACCTGGGCTAACTGGATTTGGAAAGAATTCCATGGAAAGTCTATAATGAAAACTCTTCCTTTGGGTCAACATTGGAGTGTCTTTCAGAAATTGCTTCCGGAGCTTTATAGCTTAACTTCTGTGCATATTGGGGATGGAACGCGAACCTCCTTCTGGCATGATCGCTGGACTGGCAGCATGGAACTCGCATCAAAGTTTGAATCCCTTTTCTCGCACTCAACAGACGTTTTAGCCACCGTTCAACAAATCCTCTCTATTGGAATCTCCAATTTTGTCACCTCAAGGCTTACAGTTGCAGCGATGACAGAGCTACAGGAACTGCACACTATTCTTCAAAGCTTTACCTTGACTAATGAATCAGATACTCGACTAAATGTTAGCCACGACATCTTAACAACTAAGAAAATCTATGAGTCAAGGTTTTCGACGGGCACATCTTCACCAAATTGGAAATTTATTTGGGAATGCAGAGCTCCGCTAAAAATCAACATCTTCGCCTGGCTTCTCGTCAGGAATCGATTGTCCACAAAGAAAAATCTCATGAAGAAGAAAATCGTCCAGACAGCAATCTGTGAAATCTGTAACCTTGCTGATGAAACAGCGGATCATCTAAGCTTCACCTGCCCTTTTGCAATCAGCTTCTGGCAAACTATTCGTGTTCAGCCGATCATCACTGAAACTAAATTTCTGTTCCAACTAGAAGCGCCAGCGATCATCCCGACAAGACACTTTCAAAGTTTTTTCCTGCTTTGCCTTTGGACTCTATGGAACCACAGGCATGATGTAGTCTTCCGGGAAAGGCCACCGTCCATTTCTGCATGCCTGCAACGCGGATTATCGGAATCCACTTTATGGGCTGCAATGTTTACACCTGATGACAGAACTGTAATAGATATTTGGAAAGGTGTTTTCTCTTCTCGTCTTCAGACTCTAAATTCATTGTAACAGACCTATTCCTTTCTAATTTAAGTGCGATGACAATTCAGGTGGGAATCTCTCCCCCCAGTGAGTTAGTCAAAAAAAAAAAAAACTTATTCAGCCCACGTGAACTTCCTTGTCCATCCAATCCATTTCAGCCCACGTGTCCCATTCATTGGCTGCACACCAGACCCGGCCCACTACATATTGGGCCTAAATGGGCTGCATTTCCATTTCTTCCGACTTTGGATGGGTCGAAATGGCCCGACAGCATTCGGCCCATCGTCCGAAGCGTTCTTATCCAAATCCCACACCATTCGAGGACTGATCTGTAAAAAATCCACATAGATATTTCCCCCAACCCCTAATCCTCCTCGCGAGCCTACACCCGCGAGGGTTTAAGGGGGCCGGAAAAACGGCGCGGCAGCCTGAGTCGCAGGAATGGCCGCTCGCTCGCTGTAGGGTTTTTCGCCGCTCGCCGCCTCCGCCTCCGCCGCCGCGTGCCCGCGTCCACGCCCGAATCGAATCAGCCGCCGCCGCCGCAAACTCGCCGAGCAGCAGCTGAGCCTAGCACCGCGCCGCGCCGCGCTGCGCCTCGCCTGGCGGCGGATGGCCGCAAGCTAAACCCCCCCGACTCCGCGCGCTCCCCGTGCTGCCCATGGCGGCGGTTCGGAAGGTACTTTGGTGCTCTGATCTGGGCGTGGTTTGGGAGGATTGGGTCGCTGGTGTTGCTGTTTTTGGTGGGAATCGCGGTTTGGCTGCGGGATTGGGAGCGTGATCGGTTTGCTTGGGTGTGGGGATTTTTGTGTGCGTGTGGCGGTGAGGGGTCTCGTTGGGTGGTTGGTTGGTTAGTGAGCTCGTTGTTGCGGTTTGTTTTGGGGATTTGAGTACGGCTGGGGTTAAGAATCGTGGTGCTGTGGGTTATGGGCTGTATGATTGTGTTCTACCGGTGCAACCGTTTTTTCCAGTAGAATTGGAAGGGCAAATCAATTGCCGACTTGAATTGGTTTTGCTTGTTGTAGTGAATGGGATCAATTAGCGAATGAGGTTTTCCCTTAAGCTGTGCTTCATACAGTTGTGGAACAATTGAGTGGTGGTCAAGTTAGATTTCACAATTTTTCAGGTAGGTTTAAGTGGATTGATGAAGTATAACTGAGCTAACCGAATGGGTTTGAGGTATGGCACATTGATCTGGCGACAAGGCCTATGACTTGTTGAGCTCATTCACTCTAGAAAGAAATTTCACACTGGACTGAACTTTCGTGGATGTTATCTGCTCTAACAATAACAATATAAGCTTAGTAGCGCTTCCCGACTGTCTGATGTTGGTCGTTTACATGCTTTTCAACATGTGAGCACTTAGCTGTTTATGAGATATGTGATGACTCACTTAGCTGGATTTCGGTATTGTTTAATCTCCTAAAAAGTGTTTTCTGTTATTCTGGAAACTAATTATAGCTTTGTTCAGATGGCGGCCAATGGCCTCGCAGCAAAAAGGGAGAATACAGGGACAAAGAAATCTCCCCTGCAAATCCAGATGCTGGAGAGATTCTACTCTGGTAAGTATATGCTAACGGTTCAAGCTCTGCCTCTGATTATTATGCTAATATATCATTGTTGGTGTTGACAAATATCTCTTGATCCAGAGGTACAATACCCTCAGTCGGAGGACATTGCAGAGTATGCAACATCTGTTGGTTTGACTTACAATCAGGTCAGAATATGGTTTAAGGAGCGGAGGAGGAAAGAGAGGAGAGAAACGGAATCTTTAGGGGCGCATATGGAAAAGCAACTTAGTGCAAGATCAAATGGGTTCAGATGCAGCAGCAGCAGGTCTTCCTCTTTTAGCCGGTCTACCATGTACCGTACTGTGAATTTACAGCCAGAGGACGACCGTTATGTTGACAAGGGTATGAGCTTCACAGGAGAGAAACACACACTCCGATCACAAGTTCTGTTTCCCAAGGATTATATCCTGAGGAAAGTCTTCCGCAAGGATGGTCCACCTCTTGGAAGCGAATTTGATCCCCTTCCCCATAGTGCACCTGGCCATCTCAGAGGTATATCTCCAGTAATATCTGAAGGTCCTTGAAAAGTTACTACCCATTACCCATCATAAACACACATCTAATTTTCTATGTATGTTCACTGGGTCAAATAAAAATACCTAGCTTGGAGGTTCAATTTACCACTCAGTCCTATCAACAACTCTGTAGCAACAACTTGTGCTTGATTATGTTCTTCACTGTTCACTTTGTGTTACATTGTGATTGCTTGTGTTCTGGTGCAAAGCTTCTACTAAACTTCTTGGTGAACAAGGGAAGCAAAATGATCAGCAAGAACTTTTAAAGCTCATTTTATGCTTACTTTTGTAGTTCTGATCTATGTCTAATGTTTCTAATGCTAATGCTGCTGACATATTTCCAAACTTTGCATTTTGCAGATGTGTTTTTAATACTCAAATAATAGTGTTCAACTGATCTGATTGTTTTTATTAATATTCGCAGATACTACAGACGACCATTTCTACCAGAACCAAAGAGTAATAAAGAAGAGAAAGGTATCATAACAATTATTTAGGCTGATTACATTGCATTAATTTCCATTTATGGCAAAGAAAACTGTGCTGAATATGTGTTGCATTTCGTTTTGTGTTGGTGCTGCTTAATGGTGATTTAGTGCCATGTCCTGTGCTGATGGTCAACCTGATTAAGCAAAATGTTTGTTTGCAATACCAGTGCCCCCCTTGATAGGAAAAAGGCAGCCACTTTTGTAATTAGAACTACGAATTGTGACAATTAACCATTCAGGTTTAGTGCTTTGCCATACCTTATGAAGGGCAAGAATTTGTCAATTCAATGAGCACAACTGTAAAATATATGTATTTCTGGGTCAAATGATACCTGCATTTGAACTGTTATATAAGATCTGTAGTACCTGTCTTATGGGCTTCTGGCTATTGCTTTTATTCAGGCGTTGCTTTGACATTCTTTGTGAGGGTCTTAAGGTTACATGCCTACATCCTTCATTTTTTTATTTGCTCAGTTGTATGATCATAGCTCCATTGGGTTGTCTCTTGACAGTTCTGTGTTTCTTACCTCCGGTTTCAGTTTTATAATTTATTTCAGTGCCTCGGATGGAAGTTGTGTTACTAGATGAATAAATGCACTTCCTGCTTTGCTATGGAGTTAATTTATTTTCATGTCATGTCAAGACCTTTAATCTTTGCACCAATATCTCTTCACAATCTTATTCCTGTGTAGATTGTGGAGCCTACCACTCAGAGATCTTCCCTGCCATGTGGGGACAATGGTCCTGTGAGGAAACATGGAGCCGGGAAAGGTCTAATGACAGTGTGGCATGCAATGTATTCCCATAGTAGCAAAATTCAAGATGGATCTAATTTTATTGATGAAACTGGTTGCTTGAGGTCCTTGAGACCATTAGATGATTGTGGCAGAATAGAGGATTGCGATGATGGAAAGCTAATTCAGGTAAAGTCTTATTTAATTTGATCTGATTGAGCTCATTTTACATCAAAAGTATTTTTAATTCCATTCAGAGTTAGTTGGTCACAATTGTCTTGCATTTCCTTGTATGAAGAAAAAAGTTTTGGCACGGAAAAAAGTGGTAAAAAGGACCAGGCCTCCATCCAATAAAAGAAAGGTAACCTTTCATACTTGGGGAAGATATATGGGGAAAGGGAGCAATATCTTGACTAGCAATACCTTTTCTGTTTCTGGTTCAGCCAAAGAAACTTAAACCTGCTTTTCTGCTGGGCAACAATGGTGATTTCCCCTTATTTTAGGTGCCAAGTAGCAGAGTTACTGATCCGAAGAAGCATCCTCCAATGGAATGCCATCTTTCAGTTGATGAATCACAATCCCCAGTGCTACAGGCTAACCAAGTGACTTTAGTTGATGATGAGGAGCTTGAACTCCGTGAATTGCAAGCAGGTCCTAACCCATTGAGATGTTCAGCTCACCTTTCTTCAAGTGGGAGACATGGCTGCCCTCTTTGTAAAGGTTTGCAATGCTATTCTATACCTTTCTACTATGTTCTGTAATAAATAGTTTACTCAAGTAGCAGCACCTTTTGTCATGCAGATTTACTTTCCAGGTTTCCTCCATCAAGTGTCAAGATGAAACAGCCATTCTCCACAAGACCTTGGGGGTCATCACCAGAAATGGTGAAAAAGCTTTTCCAGGTGAAAATGAAAACTCTACCTTTTGACTGACTGAGGATCATTGTCATCATCATGGAATTTGTGTACATGAAATTATGAAGAGCAGTTCGGTTTCCAATATATATCCAATCTTCTCTTGTATATTTGTTTATATTACTACATTGTCTATAAAACTATGTGTTGATCTGGAAACAAGGCTGACCAAAAGGTTAAAATTGAATATCTCTGTGGTGCAGTCAATTCTTGTTAATGAGTCCACTAACAGCCACATGGATTATTACTATTACATTAGGGAAGGGGATATTTCTATTCATGTTTTCACACTGATCTTTTCTTATATAAATGTGGTAATTATTTTACTTTTCCTTAGAACACTAATGATCTTGGCATGTAATTTAAAAAGTTAATAGCCACTGCGTGTCCTCACCTATACTTGGTTAACTGTTAACCAACATAATCTTTCATTCTTTGTTCTGTGTGTCTACTGTCTTAAATGTATCTCACTTCCATTTTTACTAATTTTTATGTTGAAACTTGATGCACATCCATTAATTGGAAAAAATATACGCTTGTCAGGTTGTCCGGTTTATCTACAATCGTTTTGGTTATATGGATGTCCATCCCTTCACACTTGATGAGTTGGCACAGGCATTTCATGACAAGGTCTAGTTTTATATCGATTTTCTTTTGAATTTTCATGGTTCCTGGCATTATTTCTCATGGTGCAATGTGATATCCAGGATTCGATGTTGTTGGGGGAAGTACATGTCAATCTCCTCAAGCTACTTTTGTTAAACACAGAACGGGGCAGCAATGATGTGTTTGTTCCACGATCTTCTAAAGACTGCAGATTTTTAAGTTTTGTGAACTTTGTGAGTCTCGATAGTACCAATTTATGCTTCAGTTAATTTCAAATCTCGAGTATTAAATTATCTTCCGAAGTTTGAATGAATCAAACTCATTTTATTCTGCACTGGAAAGTTGAATATATATTGTTGTAACACCAAGTGCTGTGCTATTCGTTTGGTGATCTTATCATCAATTAATCTGCATTGTTATTTTTATGTTCCAGTCTTTTCTGAAGTATCGAGTTGATTTTGCTGATAGGCAATAAATATTGACAGGGTCTAATAGATCTTCCTTAGGAAGAATCTGGCTCGTTATCCAGTAGCACTAGGTTACTAGTTACTCGTGATGATTTACTGTATTGAACCTGATAAAAGTTATTGTGTATTTGGAAAGAATTGAGTGCCTATTTCCCTCCATTTACTATTGTTTAGTACCATGATTACACTATTTGGAAAGTTATTGTTTAGTTCTATTTCAGTTGAGGCATCTGTTCATCTTATGGAATGCATAATCATGAATTTCATCGAGCTTCCTGCATATTTTGTAATTTGGCTTGACTTTATTTTCGTATGGATATGATGTAAGGTAACTAAACTGTCAGTTGCCCAGGATGAATCTATTATAGCTACTAGAGCTGACTCTTTGATTGGATACACCATTTATGCAGACTAGTGAAACCTTTCAGCAGGCAAAAATTGCTAAAGCAATATTATCCTAAGAGAAGATAATCTCTGAATGACTTAACTTTCCTAGATATCGGATTAATAGGTCACTGTTGTCCTTGTCACTATGCATTTTGAAGATATTTCTCTTTCAGGTTAGGGAACAGGAGTTTGATATGAATTTTTGGATCAAGTCTCTGAATTCTCTTACCTGGGTTGAAATACTACGTCAAGTTTTGGTTGCTTCTGGTTTTGGTTCGAAACATCATATGCTGAATCGGGATTTTTTTAATAAGGTACTCGTTTGATATCACATCGTTCTAGATTATTTCATGCCTGCAGGTGCCAGGTGGTAATATTTGTATATATGCTCTAGCTATAGATTCCCCTACTAGTGTTTGCTCTACAGGTAATTCAAGTATTGTTAGAAGTAATTTAAATCTTCTGTTTTGCTACAGGAGAAAAATCAAATGGTTAAATATGGTTTACGTCCTCGTACACTGAAGGGTGAATTGTTTGCACTATTGTCTAAGAAAGGTAGTGGTGGCTTAAAGGTATCAGAACTTGCCAAATCACCTGAGGTATTACCTATATACTAAGTTAAATATAAATGTTGGTATTGATAATGAATAATCTTCTTTTTAACTTGGGGTATCTCCGTAAAATTTCCTTGATTGCTCTTTCTTCAGATTGTTGATCTTAGCATCTCCAGCACAGAAATAGAGCAGCTGATCTATTCAACTCTTTCTAGTGATATCACATTATTTGAGAAGATTGCGCCTTCTGCATATCGTCTCCGTGTAGATCCTCGAATTAAAGGAAAGGAAGACTCTGGATCAGATACCGAGGACTCTGGAAGTGTTGATGATCACAGTGATGCTAGCAGTGGTGCTGATGAATCTGATGGTTCACATGAGATGAGTTTTTCTGAGCATGAACATAGAATCCTTAGAAGAAAGTGGAAAAATGGTCATGAAAATGTGAATAGATGTAGTGAAATTGATGAAAGTTATTCTGGAGAACGATGGCTTCTGGGGTTGATGGAAGGCGAGTACTCAGACTTAAGCATTGATGAGAAGTTGGATTGCTTGGTTGCTTTAATGGATGTTGTTTCTGGTGCTGATTCTGCTCCAAGACTTGAGGTGATTTTGACTCAAATGTTTTTGCTATCTTAAACTGCATCATGTCATCTTTGATCTAGAAAAGGCTGCTACTTTTCTACAGCACCTGCAAATTGACCACATTTATATACTTCCCACTCATAGCTATAAGCCAGCTTAATGGCATGCCATATTTATGAGGAGTGGTATTCATTAGAAAATGTTTTCCAGGCTACTGTATAACTGTCAGTTAAAATCTACATATTTCTATGTACTTGTTTCTCAACAGCAGAGCACTTTAACTTTTTGTGCCCTTCTCTCGATCTTTTCTAACACTGTTCTAATTGCGTTCAACGTACCAATTTCAAGCTCAACCTCCTGAAAATATTCTTGACTTTGTGTCCCCTACTTGAAAATGCAGAAGCTTCATTGTTTTCCTATCTCTTGTAGGAACCATCAAGAGTCGTGCCTAGCATACCGAGAGCACAGCCGCATGTGTCAGGTGGGAAAATAAAGAAATCGACAAGAAACATTTGTCAATCTAGTGATGAGTGCTTTAATGCATCAGGAAGCATGTATGGTTTGGATTCTTCTATGCATGAGCAGTCAAGAAGCCTGAGAAGTCGTGATTATGTTGCTTACTCTGGAAGGAATGATACGTCTACAGGAGTTGCTCATCAACCACAAGTTGTTCTCTTAGGATCCGACCGTAGGTATAATAATTATTGGCTCTTCCTTGGACCTTGTAGAGCAGATGATCCAGGACATCGTAGGGTGTACTTCGAGTCATCAGAAGATGGTCACTGGGAGGTTATTGATTCACCACAGGTTGTCGACCTGCTAAATCTGCTTAGATAATTATGCCTTTTATTTATTCACTCGAGTTTGACTTCTATTGGAACTTTACCATTTTATATATTTGATTGCAGGAGTTACTTTCCCTACTAGCTTCGCTAGACAGCAGAGGTACTAGGGAAGCTTATCTTCTTGCGTCAATGAAAAAGAGACAGACATGCCTTTTTGAAGCCATGAAAAAGCATTACGAAAATAGAGATGCAGTTCAACCTGCAATGCCATCTGATACATCTCACTCTGAGACAAGTAGTGGAGATGGAGCTTCACCCAAGCTAAGTAGTGGAGATGGAGCTTCGCCAACATCAGACATTGACAATGCTTCTGTCCCCACAAATCCAGCTGAGAATATGATAAATGCATCATCTGCAATAGCAATTGAAGTTGGGAGGAGAGGTGATGAGAAAATATTGAAGTGGGAAAGATCTCAAACATTTGATAAATGGATCTGGACTTCTTTCTATTCTTGCCTAACTGCTGTTAAGTGTGGCAAGAAATCATTCAAGGAATCACTAGTTCGCTGTGAAAGTTGTCATGATTTGTATTGGAGAGATGAAAAGCATTGCAGAATATGCCACTCTACTTTTGAAGTTAGCTTTGATCTTGAAGAACGATATGCTATACATGTGGCTACATGCAGGGATCCTGAAGATGTGTATGATGTGCCAAATCATAAAGTTCTGCCTTCACAGCTACAAGCACTTAAGGCAGCCATTCATGCTATTGAGGTTAGTATTCAAATAATGTAGTATGCAGTTCTATTGTCTCTATTAACTTTGTTTAAAAGCTACTGTACCTGCTGATACAAAGTTGAGGATATAGCCGTGTTAGATTGTCACTCACTTGTTTATTGAAGTGTCTCCAGAACCATACATAGTATATACCAGCTGTCTAGCTTGATTTTATTTTCTTATCTTCTGTTCCGTTTCAGGCACACATGCCTGAAGCAGCGTTTGCTGGTTTGTGGATGAAGTCTTCGCACAAGCTGTGGGTTAAGCGGCTGCGACGAACGTCATCTTTGGCAGAGCTTTTACAGGTGTGTTGTATTCCTTTTTTTAGATTAGATGATATAATGTTGGAACCTTTTTGTTCTGTTTTAAGTTACTCAGTATTTTCTGTCTTTTTATCGTTGTGCTGCTTGTCCTTCAGGTTCTTGTTGATTTTGTGGGGGCAATGGATGAGGATTGGCTGTACAAAAGTTCATCATCTGTAAGCTTTTGTTCGTATTTGGATGACATTGTCATATACTTCCAAACAATGCCACAAACAACATCAGCAGTTGCACTGTGGGTTGTTAAATTGGATGCCCTCATCACGCCTTATTTGGAAAGAGCTGATTCTGACAGAGCATTGGGCGAAGAGTCTGTGCAGACAAGTATGTCTTTCCCAGTAACCACTATTTTGGATGCTTGCAGTTTTAACTCTGCAATATATACCGTGACTTTGCTATAATATTCTGGTTAAATATTTGCATATCCCAGAATGCCTTAAATAGGTCATCCTTTTGCATCTTGTGCATGTTCAGTATATATTACAAGATTTTTAAATATTGACACTTGATAATTGTTTGAGATCATCAGCCTGGAAGAGGCATATGATTGTGTATGCTATGTATGACATTAGGATTTCTACAGCACTAATGATCCAAGATAATATCACCATGCATAGAAATTCTTTTCTTTTCTTTTCTTTCAAAGTGCATGTCAGCTCCACTGCTGGGAACAGCATGATTACTGAAATTTTTTCTGAGTATATACGATGAGTTGTGACCTTTTCTGAAATTCTAGGCTTCTAGCTTCTTTCCAATTTTGATGTTATGTTCCTACTTGTTGTCATTCATAAAATAACATCGTACCCATTGCACATTGCAGGAACGCGAGCATGCGGTGAGATAGCTAGGAATCGATGATGGAATTCTTTCTTTTGTGGTACTCCAAGCAAAGCACCCAGCTGACACGTTCTTTCTCATCAACTGCAAGTTTTTTTGTTTGATTGTCGAGCTTTTTTCTCAAGACTGAGACAACCATAATGTCTCTTCCTTGAGCATCAGGCCTTAGCAGAAGCCATGGCTTCCTAGTTCTGCTGGATACCTGGAGAACATCCTTGTTCCCACCCAACAGAAAGTCGTCCCTTATGTACAATAGTAGACAGGAAAAAAAAGGGCTTTTTTTTGTTAATAATCATTGCTTCCGCCATGTGAATTTTTTTGCTCACAACATTAGTGATCACGAGGAATACTAAAAACTTCTATATAGGTCATTGCCGGATAGATGATGTATGTTGTTCATGAACTAAGGCGACCCCTTTTGATGCAATAAGAGGGTCAGATATCTCCTTTTTGATCGGTTAGTCTGCCGTGCAGCTCATTTTGCTTCCAGCAGAGCGCGTGTAAGCAGGATTGGCGTCACCACTTTAGTCTTTAGTACTCTTAATGGTGTAAAATCTAGTTGCTCTTTTATTTGGTAGTTCCTCGTAGGAACTCGCTACTACCATTTGTACCTGTAAAACCACATGTCCTTCTGTTCTATAGACGTTCTTTCTTGTCGGTTTGTCAAAAACAAATATAGCTATAAAATCCAATCTTGAGTGCAAAATAGCATGTGGTGTTGCGTGCGTCTTTATTTACTCTATTCAGACAGTACTCATTCTGTCCCACAAAAAAAAATATTTGTAGCAACTCTTAACAAATTAGGCTATGGTGATTCTTTATTAATACAAGAAGTTGTATTACAAATGAAGTCGTTATGGGACAGATAAATGAAGTCTTTGTGGAAGAGATGGAGTAAGTGATAATCCTACATATTGGATTGGCTTATTGAAGTCTTGAAGAAGGTGAACCATCGATGAAGGACCACTGGTTTCATCGCCCCTATGGGTTAAAGCCGCTGTCAATTGGGTGGTCTTTTATCCGCTTTTGAGAGTTGAGACTTGAGAGATTTTATTTGGCTTAGAAAGTTGGGAGGGACAAAATTTAACCGAATCATAAGTTCAGAGATAAGAAATATAATTTTTACCTCATTTAATTTCTATTAAAAAAGGTTTCAAAAAGCAGGCCTTTGAGATTGTTTTTCTTAGCCATCCTATACATATTTTTCTGATGTGTCTACTTCCATTACATGGCTTTTACAGTGGTCATTCAATAATATCGATGCCTTGTTCACAACAGAATCTGCGAAATCAGTTGGCCGCCACATTTTACCAAATTGGCCAGATTTGTTTCATTTCTCTGACATTCACGAAACTGAAAACCATAGCTTCCGGCCTCGAATGCAATCTTCAACGATGCAAACTGCCATCTGCCAAATCTTTCCTACCGAGGAAAACCATTGCTACCACCAGAATATCTGAACTGTGGCATCACATATCCTCCTTCCGGACGAGGACGGTATACAGTTTGTGGCACATTGAATGGTGCAAATGACGCTCCAAGTTGATCCAGAGGATGGTGGTGTACAGTTTGTCGCACATTGAGTGATGCAAATGATGGAAATTGATTCGGTGTGTTTCCCAGATAATAAGCAGGTGGATGCGAACCAGCCAATGCCGCATTTGGATGCTGGAAACCCATCCTAGGGTGTGGGCATGCCGTTGATCTGCCATCTGCGTGAGGTTGCGAGGCATTGCCAACTTCACGGAATGGAGGTGGCCTCTGGGGCCTCACGATCTCAAAGGGAGACTGCTGCACTCCAACCAGATATCCATGACTTGCCTGCATATCATAACCTGAACCTGCATTCCTTTCTCCGAATTGAGCATGGCTGCCACCAGCGAGATTTTGCTGGGAATCAGCTTTCCTTTCTCTCATCCTAGCTCTGTTGGTGCTGCGATCACTTCTATCCAGCCGGGCACGACTTGTCTTCGTGTTCTGACCACCAGCGAATTGTTTTGCGGAAGACGATTGGCTCTCTTCATTCCTGGATCTTTTTGTGGGGAGATCAGGATTGGAGGACTGCATAACACGCTTCTTGCCTTTCTTGATACTGCTTCCACTATCAGGCCGTCCTGCTTGAGATTGATGTTTTCCCTTTTGCGTCGTTTTCTTGCCTTTATGCCACCAGAAGGATATGTTATAAATTGAAGTTGGAATTCAATTAGTTTGGCAAAAGATACGTACAGTTTCAAGATAATTGACTTGAAAAGTGGAGAGAGAAATTGCTAAGAGCTAATATAAAATTCATTCTGAACAAAACTCATAAACAAAACGATGCATGAAAAACATTCCAAGAAACAGAAGTGTATCTCTTTAAGTTTATGATCAGCTCAGAATTAAGTTATAATTACATTTTTACAATGGCTTGTGCAAAACTATGCTCTTCTCCATGTAAAAGTGACTAAAAAGGGCTTTTAAACGATTCCCTCTAAGAAACAGCTGCCTCTACCATGGAATATTATAGTTCTCAATGCGAAATGCCCAATACATGATTACATGTCATTATAAAATCTGTAGTATGCGACTAAAGGTCTATCAAACATTTTATAGTATTTGTCACATGGTGCATGCGACATCATGACTGATATGAACCTACATATGTAATAGCACTCAGAAAATTCAGAAGGCAACTGCCATTAGAAAGATTCTCTCTCAATTGTAATCAGGTTAAGGAAACATGTAGTATCTTAGCTTTATTTAACAGGGTTCTTGAGTATAGAAATTACTGTTTCCTGCAGCATCAGGTCTACTCAATGCACGAACACGCCTTGCAGCATCTCCCCTGCTGTGCTTCTCATCTAGAGCCTTCGATCTATCTGCTTCATTTAGCCAAGGCTAAATAATAATAAAAAAGAACTTCAATGTAAAGCTGAAAAGTATACAAACTCATCCTGAGATAGATATAAACACATTTATGGCTGCATATAAGTAACCCATCCACAGAAAATGATAATATCAACAAGATTTTTTGAACACATGAGAATGACAGCTAATCTGCTACAGTATTGTCTAGATAGCACAAGTTCTAAAATAGGGATGAGGGTTGGCCAACCCGCCAACTCACTTATAGGTCAAATAAGTGGTAATCCGTGGGTTTTCACATCGTTACCCGGCTTGCCGTATCTAGAGATACAAGTGGATCAACCCATAAACCTATTTATAGGTTAAATTAGTAGGTAACCCACGAGCCAACCCGCGAGTTACCCTCTAAATTTTGCCTATAAGTCGGGGTCCGGGCTCACAGGTTGGCCCGCTTGCATCCCTAGAATCTAAAAGGTAACATACTTAAGACAATTCAGGTAAGAGCTATCCTACCTGACGGAAAGTCATCATTCTGTAGAGATTGCGCCCTTTGACAAGTAGCAGATACAAAGGTGGTAATTTGCCTACTCCTTTGCTCCAGAAAACTTGGATCTATCAAATTCAACAGCTAAAGGAGTCAGTAGAAGCTCAAGAAAACCAATGCTGCAGCAGTGACATATAATTATTATTTTCAGACAATAGCAGAAATATATTACTGAAATTAATCCTTACAGTAAAAGTGTGCTGCTGCTTCTCTTTTCCATAACTTTCCTTAATAACACTCCCAGCTACAATTCGCTTTCCTATACATTTTGAATGCCTTTTTCCACTAACAAAGTCAACAAAGGGAAGTTCTCTCATTATTAATCTACGCAAATGCTAGTGAGTACAGAAGTGCAGATTTCTACCTTTTCTCATAAACCTTCTGCTTGAATAAAACGGTATCACCTCTACAGACATCACCTAAAGTGAGAGAGATAAAGGCTTGTTTTATTCAGACAGATAACCTGGATAATTTCGTATGCAGACAGATAAAGGCTTGTTTCCAACTGAGGTGGCACCTTTACAGTTAATACAAAAGGATGAGCGTGGATAGATCTTCTCTGGATCCCTATCTTTGAACCTAATAGGAAAACAAAGCAGAATGTTACATGCGTCTGGCTGTTCTGAAGTGTTGCAAGATCAATGCATTTCCAGGATGAAAGGAAAACTCTTCAATGCATAACAATACTATTACAGAACAAAAGAATCAGGATAAATGAAAAGAAAGAAATGGCACAGAGGAAGTGGTGTTCTCTACATTACTGCTACTCCGGATCATGGGATAGATAAGCATAACATTACTGCATAATTCGACAGAGAATCATCCAAGTAACTAACCTCCAATGCAACACTATTCTTTCTATGCAAGTAGCCAAGTCCCCAGTTTGGCTAAGGCCATTCTTCTTTAAATATGCTTTGCAATCAACCAGCTTAATCCCATCCAAATTTCGCCCCGCTACAATGAAAAAAAACTGTTCATTAGCTTATGTTGTAGGAATATAATACTATTCAAGCAAGTAGACCATATTAGTATGATGTTCAACTGCATATTTTTCATTCTGGAAACATAAGGTAAATTATCAAAGGATCATATGATTGATCCATGGCAGTGAAGAATATTTTGCAAAATAGCCCATCATTGACTTTTACAAATAACCCGCAATTTTAATTGCTAATGTTGGCAGCAAGCCATTTTCTTACAAAATAGCCCCCTTCTGAACTGCTATTCGCTACCCGAGAATTTTGTGCTACAAATAACCCCATTTGGTAGGTATAGCGATCTGGATTTTTACAAAATAACCTCTGGTTTGGACCCTTCAGATTTTTTTTTGAATTATTTGTCCCACGGTTCGAAAATACATCTTCTTTAGAAAACTTCCTTCTATACCACTAAAACTATTTTATTGAGTTAATTTTGTGAAATAATCAATTTATCTAAATGATAAGTAAATATAATTCCCCATAATAATGTGCTCAATGATCTAAAAATCAAGCGGGCCTAAGCTGATTCCCCACGCAACAGTAAACGCCACCGTGCGAAGCCGCCACTCTCCCCGTCGTCTCTTCCTCCGGCAAGCCGGTCGCCATGGCGAAGCGATGGCTCCCCCTCGACGCAAAGTCGCCAATCCTGAATCGAATCAATCAGGCACCCTCCCGGCCCGCACCTCCTCTCCTCTGATAGCCAGTTCGTCCGAGTGGCATGCGAGCACAAATGGTGGTGCGCGCACGCGCACGCAGCGAGGAGGGGATCGAGGTGATTACCGCGGAGGAGATCGGCGATTTTTCTGCAGGAGGCCTCGCCCCGATCCACGCCTGATTGCTCCGGCTCCCGCTCCCGCTCCGCCTCCGATTCCGATTCCGACTCCTCCTCGCTCCCCGCGCCGCCGCCTTCCTCGCCGTCGCTGTCGCTGATGTCGATGTAGTAGTCCTCGTCGCTGGTGGATTCCTCGTCGTCCTCCTCCGACCCAGACTCAGATCCGGCGTCAGAATCCGACGAGATGTCGATCGCTGCGGCGCGCTCCTCCTCGACCAGCACCGCCGTCACCGCTGCGGCGGCGCGCCTCCTCGTTACAGGCATCGCAGTAAGGGCAGCGCTCCACAGGCACCCCGCCGGCGGCCGCTCTCCCTCCCTCGCCGCCTCGCCCTCCTCCGATTGCCTTCCGCCTCGGAATGGAAGGGCGCCTCAAATTTCCGTGTAGGCGTAGGCTTGTGGTGTTGACGCTTTACCTCCTCGATGAGAGATTCAAATTTCAAATCGTAAATTTGAAAGCACGGCCGTTTGGTTCACGGGAGTCCCTTTTTTTTCTTTTTTTGAAATAAAGCGCAAAATCAACGTTTGGAACTTCGGATCAAAGCATCGATTGCTAAGATCAATAGGAACCGTTTCAAAATATAACATTTTCTAACCTTCAAAATTTATCCAAAAACATACTACTACAATTTCTCTCCATACATTTTCTTTTCACCATTCAAATTCCATATCTTATCTACTATTCTCAACCAATCACAACTTTTTTCTATTTAATTTCACCAATTTTCTCAATATACTCCTAAAATTTCTTATATTTTGGAAGGGAGATAGTGTTGCATTATGTCAGGTCTAGTGCTTATATACTTACTCTCTCCATCCTAAAATACATATCCTAGTTCAACAAATGTGGACATAAAGCTGTCCAAATTTATTGGACTATGATATGTCTCATTTAGTCCTAGATTTTATATTTTGGGATAGACCGGTACTTTATTTAGAGTTTATAAGCTAAGCTAAACTATATTGGTTTGAAATTTTTATATTTCATGTAAAACACCAAGAAAATAATTCATCTAAATGCTATCAATATAATCACAGATCCATAATTTTCTAGAGCTAAAAATACTCGGCTGCAAGAAATATTTGAATCCGAAGCTGTGAATATGTGCCCAATCGTTGTAGCCCAATCTTCATCAGACATTAAGAAACTGGAGGAGAACACAAGATGAACACCAAAAAAATACCACATTTTTTTCATTCTGAATCAGTATAACGGCACACTTGACAATGGCAGCATTAAACCACCCTCTTGGACATCAGGATCCTTACTTCCTTAACAGCAGGCGACTTCGCCCCAGTTCCAGAGGAACCAGGGAATTTTACAACACAACTGGGACAGTCCCAACAACTGAACAGGATGGCTATCCTAAAGACTGTTAGAGACATCACATGTTGCAGACATGGGGTGAGGTTTTTCATTTTTCCTATCAACTAAAATGGTGGTGATCAGTAGGCAGGCGACAACAAACTGAACTCTATACTCAAATTAGTGAGAAAACAAGGACTGCTAGCACAAGCTGTTATCTTCGGTCGGTGGACTCCGATCGATGATCGATGTTTCCTTGTAAACTTGTCTGGACCGATTCAGCTCGCGCTAGGGCAGCATAAATTTGTGCTGTCGTTAGAGAGTATCAACAGCTATCTCATCTTTGACAAGGACCTGCTGGACATGCCATGCAATAACTTGACAAATCCAAGGAAACTCAATTTCCCGTCGGTGTGCCTGATCCAATCTTGCAGAACAACATGCAATGGCACTGAAGGGCTGAGACCCAGTTCCTGAGAAAGAACAAGTGAAGGTATAAGGAAACCAAATCGACCGATCAGAAAGAACATGAGATCGACCAATTAGAAAGAACATAGGAAGGAAGGCATCGCATACAGAAGCTAGTTCATCAATTACGATAGCTCGATTGCCATCCTTCTCAAAGAAATCATAAGCGGAACGGGCATGTTGCTCCCATCTATCTAATGCTTCAAGCTGGTGCACACTAACTGCTGCTGCACAGAACTCTTGAAAGTCCATTCTTCTGTACTGAAGAGCGCTTAACTGAAATGAAGATCCCGTTATAAATAAAGCAAGTACAACTATGCATGAATGGAAAGTCTGTCCTATTTTTTTTTAAAAAAAAAAAAATCAAACATACCGAGACAAGAATCTCCTGAACTCGTGATTCCTTCATAGCATAAGTGGCTTCTCTTGTTAAGGCCTAAGAGAATGAAAACAATGGTCAGGAAGTAGCTTAAAAATGAACAGAAGAGAGCATGTCAGGGCTCTATGGTGGACCAACCATTCTGATATTATCTAGAGTGATGCATCCATTTCTGTCTGGTTCCAACAGAGAAAACTGTCCTTTCAGATAGAAAAGCTCATCAACAGTCAAAGTCTTCGATAGAGCCTGTAACAGGTCAAGAAAGAAAATACATTAAAATAAGTGTGGATTCCAGACAAAGTAAAATTGGACAATCACTGGACAAAATCCTGAATGCAATTGGCACGAAAAAAAATCTAGGATTTCTTGGAAGTTGAACTAACAAAATTATGGCAAAAAAAACTATAACTGGTCTAGTTCAAGAATTTATAGGAGATAACCGCAAAAGAAATAATATTTTTTTACTAAAAATGCAAATTACTTCACGGCCATGAAAAGATTACAGCATTTACCTATGTAAAACAATAGGAGAAAAACAGAACAAGTTTTATTACCCTTAGAGCAGCTTTTCGCAATGATGAGGAACGAATATAAGCTTTGATAAGTCGGAATATAAGGATGTCCAGTGGCAGCTTAATGTCATTGTAATTTCTGATCCATGGATGACCTGAAAACGAAATATAAAGATTACTAAGAACAATTCATCATTCATTGGAATCCATATGGATAGAATGGATCTTACTTAAAGCCTGTGCTGCAGTCATTCTTCTACGTGGATCCTTGCAAAGCAAGCGCTTAACAAAATCCATTGCTTCCAGAGTAAGAGAAGGCCAAGGTGCCTCATTATAACTGGGGTCAGCTTTGAGAACGGAACGGAATATGCCAGATTCAGTGCGTGCCCAAAATGGACGACTGCCACAAAGGAGAATATATGCAATTACACCTATACTCCAGACATCAGCTTCTGTGCTATAGCATCTGTGCAGAACTTCAGGAGCAACATAATAAGCACTTCCAACAATATCATTTAGCCTCTCATCTGCATAAATATTAGAAAAGCATATTTAAGAATCTGTTACCAGCGAACCATATTCACTTGTGGATATAGTAATCAATAAGTTAATCTTGGCTGTTTGAGCAGTACGAAACTAACCTGGTTTTACAAAATCTGATAAGCCAAAATCAATAGCCTTAAGTTGAGAGTTCTCATCTTTTGAAGTAAATAGAAAATTCTGAAAAAGGATCATCTTTTGTTAGTCTCTCAATCGTGAAAACAGTTCACATAATTGCACAGAAAAAGGAACAGTAATGAAATAAATAGACCATGCAAGGAATGTTATGAACAAATAATAGGATAACTGAATACTGCAATGCTCAAGATCATGGATAGGACGTAGAATGGAAGAAGAAACATAAAAATAATTGCAGTTTCCATTAAAGGCCTGGCTAGTTTTACTGTCATCATGAAATTCAGCGCTTCAAAAACATCAAATATGAAAAAGCTGACAAGTAAACAATGATTGGGGTGTCGAAAAATCACATCACCTCTGGCTTGAGATCCCGATGAACCACTCCTTGAATGTGGCAAAATGAAACGACATTTAATATTTGCACCAGAACCGCTTTTGCATCATCCTCAGAGTACTTCCCACCTCTAATTACAGCAAATGAAAAACAGTTGTACTAAATCAATTTGTAATGAATATTATAGTGCTGTGCTTGTACCCACTACTAAAGTTTGCATTTAACATACCTGGAAAGTATTCTATCCAGAAGCTCTCCTCCTTCACACAACCTAAAAAAATAGGACTTGGATCAATCAATAGGAACTTTGAACATCAACAGAACATGGTGTGACACATGTTAAAAATAAATAGTGAAGAGGATTTACACATATCAAGGGATCACCATTGGGTGAAGGTATAAAATAAAAATAAAAATGCATGGAGATTTTCTTATAGAAGACATTGCTCCTTAGGCCCGTAGAGGTAAAATTTGGCTGGGTGTAATCAATGAAACTTATACCATTTAAGTTCATTTTAACTGCATGTTAATCTCTTTTTTTTTAAAAAAAAAAAGCTAAAAGAACTTCAGGTAAGGGTACACCACCCAGTCACCTACAAAGGACATTAATTTAAGTTCATTTTAACTGCATGTTAATAAGACAAATAATTAATACCGTATATTTAAACTATCAATGCTACCCTGGAAAAAAGTTGAGTTGTAGTTACTGCTCAGAGCAAGAACATACAATAGAAAGGAAAGGGTAATTAATAATTGGGAATTTGGGGTGAGTGGATAGAATATAGTATAATCATATGAAATATGAAACCTGGGTTTTCCCATGAGTTAGTGGAAACTCAGGCAGTGGAAGAAACTTAGGTTTTTCTATGAGTACCATATGAAATATGAAGCCAATCATATTGCAACTTTGCAGGTATTGGAAGCTTACTCCATTACTATGTACACATTGTCATTGTCCTCATAGGCATCATAAAATTGAACCAAGTTCTTGTGTCCCGCCAAAGCTTTCAATATTTTCACCTCCCTTCGGACATCCTCTATAGCAATGGATGTTGTCATCTGATAAAATCAGAACAACCCCATACGATGTCAAAAAAATAGGTACAGTTGTACATATCAAGAACTAAGTTCATGCCAAGTGGCGAACTGCGAGTAATTGAGAATTCTTTTCCTCCTAAAAGATGATAAATAAAGGTAGTACCAGAATAAAAGATGTTAGAACTACATGTACTCTACAACAGTAACAGAACGATATTGCCAATTGCCAAGGAGCTACCATAATCAAACGTAATTTCACAACAAATAGCACCCAGGCTTACTCAAATCTCATCATTCAAACAGGCATATATTTACAGTAGAAAACCTTGCATGCTATGCAAGAAGGCAGAAAGTATACAGCAGAAAATATTGTTCTACAATGATCCTCAAGGGCATGCAATGAACTGGTGAAGTTTCGTCATGCTTGCAATGCACAACACAGAACTGTACCATGTTAATACACAAAACATACTGTCGGAAGACAGCATTGATCTCGAAATATTTATCGAAATTGGAAACAGCAATCCTACTCCTTTAGGTAAATGCTGTTCTTCTTTTACATGAAGGGGGCCACATTTCTTAGGAAATCAGTTGTGCACTAGTGCCACATCATAACTCTTTGTTATTCGGACATCGTTTGCTTTCGCAGAAACGAGGTTCAAGTTTTCACTAGTTTATAAAACAGAGATGCAGACCAAAAAAAACTCATGAATGTATGATGATTTTGTGCAAAATCAGCATATGATGAACACCATAGTGCATTAGCCAATTGCGCCATCAACAAATCTACACCACCTCCAGGAAATCTAAATCCTCACACCGTCATTTCCCAGAAAATTGGCATGCAGATGCACATCCAATTTCTTCAAATTCCACCAACCACACAGTCACACTCACCAAACATGGAGTTGATTTTTCCAGCATTTGCAAGAAAAAAAACAGAAACAAGCAAAAATCGGCACATCACCTTGGCCTTGGGGATGACCTTGACGGCGACCGCGTCCCCCTTGCGCGCCCCCTTCTTGATCTTCGCGGCGCAGGTGTAGCCGAAGTGGCCTCTCCCCACCTCGTCCCCCATGTCGTACTTCGCCGCGAACCCCTTGTTGAACCCGAACCCCTTGTCGAGCCCGCGGCCGCCCTCCCCTTCCACGTCGCCGCCCTCCTCGGGGATCGGCGGCCGCGGGGGCCCGTGGCGCCGCGCGAGCGCCTGCCGGATGTGCTTGGCGGGCGACGGCGGCGGGAACGGCAGCCGCAGCAACCGCCTCGCGGGCGTGGTGGGCGCGGACGGGGCGGGGGACCTCCGCGGGGAGGAGGCCGAGAAGAGGTGGTGCGCAGGGCTCGGGCTGGGCGTGGAGAACCCGAAGAAGGGCGACGCCCACGGCTTCGTCTTCCACGCGGGGGTGGCCGCGCCGGACCCCCGCGGCGGCGTGGCCGGCGGCTGCGGCCGCTCGCGCGGGGGCGAGCAGGCGCCGTCGGCCTCCTCGTGCGTCAGCGGCTTCGCGTGGCATCCCCCCATGGCGTCGCCTCGCCTCGCCTTCGCCTCGGCTCCCTCCCCCGCAAGCGAGCTCGACCCACCCACCTCCTCCTGCGTCCCCGCGGGATCTGGCAGCTGTGGCTGTGGGCTGTGGCTACCACGCGGCGCGAGCGGTGGCCATGGCGGAAGCGGAGGTGGGAGAGAGCTTTGGTTTGGAGAAATGGAGTGGGAGAGGGGGGAGTGGCGAGGTAGTGGGGGGTGGAGGCGAATTGAAGCGGGGAAGGTGGAACGAGGAGTAAATGCCAAGGGTGAGTGAGCTTCAGCTGTGCTCCCTCAGAGTGACACTGTGACAGTTGGTGTTGGAAAAAAAAAAGAAGTTCGTATTGTTGGCTAGTTAAAAATGGCTCTAATTCATCTACTACCTCCGTTTCACAATATAAGTCATTTTATCATTTTTCACATTCATAATGATACTATCTAGATTCATTAATACCAATATGAATATGAAAAATGCTAGAATGACTTACATTGTGAAAATGATGTAGTTTTGTTTTTATATTTTATAAACGAAATGGGTCAGAGTGACACTGTGGACAGTTGGTGTTGGAAAAAAAAGTAGTAGTTCATATTGTTGGCTTAATTAAAAATGGCTCTAATTAAAAAAATGGTTCTAATTCATCTAGTTTTGTTTTTATATTTTGTAAACGAAATGGGTCTATGTACTATCGGTGCGTACGATCTATGTCCGACTCAGCTAGTGTATAGATACAAATGTTGTGTTTTTCTGGGCCCACATGGGGAGAAGCCGAGTGTAAGGATTGGTGGATGAGGCGCGGTCGGATACTATTCGTTATTCGTGTGTTATGGTCGTATGTATAGCAGTACTTTTTTATTTTAAAAAAATAAGTGGAGGCTGTTTTTACTCCGGTTTGGCTTATTACATTTCATGTAATGGAGAAAATACGATAAATCTTATTTTTCTAATTCTTAACGGAAGTTGTTTTTGCTCAGGCTCAACGGAGTAGGTTATATTAACCAAAATTATAGAAAATAGAAGGAGTCATACAAAATTTAGTACTATAACAAAAGCTCGATAAAAGGTGGAGCTGGCTTAATATGTACCCATAATGGGGTTCACATCGTCTGCCGTTTTAGCTGACGGCAAACATTGCCGTTGCCTTCATCCCTACCACACATCCTTCTATCAACAGCTGCATGCAGTGGTCCCACCATTTATAATTAATTAGGGACTACTAATCAGCAGAATCACTTATTTATCTTCCAAAAAAAATCAGCAAATAGAATCTCGGCGGCAAAGTGAAGCAAAAGAAGAATTTGGTTGACAAACTACATAAAAAAAAAAGAAAGAAAAGCCTAAGGTATGTATGTATGCTAAAAAGAAAAAATAAATGAAATTAAACGTTCATTAGTTATTTTGTTGTAAATCACAATTTAGGTAACCATGGTCCACTGACAGGCTAAGAATGGGAATGAAGTAGCACATGTTGAGCCATTGGAAGAGAACATATTGGAGAATAGTACAAAAGAATCTCACCAGGGCTTTGAATTTTTGGGTAGCTATACCCAGCTACTGGCGGTATGCTAACCCTGACTTTTGTTTTATAAGATTTGATAAATTCCAATTTTTTTAACTTATATCAGTTTATACATTTGTAGGGTGATTCAGATGGATGTGAGTTGTATTATGAAGGACTTTATCAGTAGCTTCATTTCGCTGCTCGTTTTTGGATGAAAAATACTCTATCTGGGACATAGTAGTAGTGCAGCAATGCTGTTTTTGTCAAATGAATACTTAAATATTTTATAAGACATGTACTATTGTTCAAGTATTTGGATAGCTTCTTAGTATAACAGAACCTTGCTTTGCTGTAGTATTTTGCTCTGCTCTACTTTTGTTTTCGTGCGCTTTGGCTGATTTTTTTAAGAGAAATAAGTGATTATGCTGATTAGTAATCCCTAATTAATCACAAATGTTGGGACCACTGCATGCAGCTGTTGATAGAAATATGTGTGGCAGGAATGAAGGTAACGGCAATGTTTGCCGTCAGCCAAAACGGCAGACGATGTGAACCCCCCATAATGACAGTGAGGCTAGCTGGTGGCTTGGCTAGATGGTGGTTAATTAAGTTTCTCCTTTTCTTTCTTTTCTTTCTTTGCTATAGGTTTAGATGGGGTCCATGGCTTTGATGCTAAGTGATTAACATGTGGATGGTTCTCATTTAGGACGTTTTGATTTTGGATGGACTTGGAGGGGTTCTTTTCGAGCTGATGGATTAGTCGCTGTCAGTTGGTGTTGATTGAGTCTTTTTGGGTGGATGCGAGGGCTGTGAGCATGTGATTTTTCGAAATGGGATATGGGCATGTGAGAATGTTCTTTTCAAGGGGAAGGAGGCACAGTATGGAGATAAGGGGAGATTGGGAGACCATATATACGAGTAAGATTTAGACTTTAGTTTTGCCGATGCAAAACCAAAAAAACTCATCACTTGACGCTTGCTTGTCAACAGGTGTGTGTGGTGAGGTTAAAAGTATGGTGTGTATCCGAAGACGGTTTTTCAGGTGTATTTATCAAAAGTTTTTTTATATAAAGATTACATTTATGAACTAGTAGCTCCTGTAACATATCATATATAGATTGGAATAGTATGGATTCATTCTTTTATGCTTCTTACGCGACCAACTATCTCATTTTTAGCATGTTTTTTCCAAACTGTTAAATGATATGTTTAGTACAAAAGTTTTTTATATATATGTTTTTTTAAAAAAAATCGTATTAACCTATTTTTCTACCTTTTGAATCTGAAATACCTATGCATTTCAAAATATCTGGTCTTACAAAGATCAGGTTGAAAACGAGATGCGAATGAATTTTCAGATATTTGCATAGTGGTATTTGCCGTATGATAGGGAAATTTGTGTAGTGACTGGTAAGATTTTTCTTTTTGCAATAATAGCCCCCATAAGATGGGAGAAATAAAACAAGTCAATTGTTCCCATCTCCTTTCGCTTTGTTCCCCAACAGAGCCACTTGTGGTAGTTTTGTGTCACTTGCCTGAGAGTGACGTCAGTCGGTTATAATAATAGGTTTTGTTTAGCATTAGTTTGTTGTTATGCTATGCACAAGCTTGACACCATCTCTATTTAATGGCCATCCTGCCTATTTAATTAGATAGTACTGTGGTGCCAAAAATTAGCTTGGTGTCCACTTACAAGTAAATGGAATGGGGGTCCAAGCATTGCCCCCAACATGTGTTGATTTTTTGGTATCATGTTTAATATTTCTCAACATTCTTTGGTATCATAAGCTTGTCTGCAACCAACCACTAAGAACACTGGACAAGAAAACAAAGGATGTTCATCTTCATCAATTTACACGTCCAAATTATGAGATGACCCACTAGGCCTATAGATCATAACACATAAAGCAAGTGAATAAATATTGTCAACAACTAAACTCAACCACATCAGCATGGCCACCTCCTCCATTTACATCTTATGTACTATTTGTCACTAGTCTTTGTTACTACATTTTGACTTAAGAATAGTTAGATACATCACATTTCGCATTTCTTTTTAGCGCGGGCACTTAAGTTTTTCTACTTATACCCCGTTCAGTTTAGCTTCTAGCTGGATTATCATAAAACGAAACAAGTCCTTAGCGCAATGATTAATTAAGTATTAATTATTAAAAACTTTAAAATATGTTTGTTTAATATTTTTTTAAAAAAAATCTATAAAATTGTTTTTAGAAACACATCATCTAACAATTCGAAAAACCTGCTAACGGAAAATGAGAAAAATCTCAGCCCAAAGCTGAAACGAACCTAGCCGTACAATTGAACCGTTGACATAAAACACCTCGCCCCCACGTATTATTACATCCTACTTTAGAGGCAATAGATATATGACAAACCTAGAGTGCAGTCCAATGGTACTCCCATTATTAGTGGCCATTATACTCAGTCCATTACTTAAAAAGGCTAACTAATTCTTTCCCAGGTGGCTCCCCTCTGTCAATTGCCGGTGGTTGATACAGATGAGCATGGAGGTTACTACCACCAACAACCAATCTTTAAAAGGACATAACGGAACTACCCCTCTGTCCAAAAAAAAGGCAAACCCTAGGTTTCCGTACCAACGTTTGACTGTCTGTCTTATATAAAAAATTTTTATAATTAGTATTTTCATTGTTGTTAGATGATAAAACATGATTAATACTTTATGCGTGACTTATCTTTTTATTTTTTTTATAATTTTTTCGACGGTCAAACGTTGGACATGGAAACCAGAGTTTGTCTTTTTTTGGACGGAGGGAGTACACCTTTTTTTTCCTGGATGGAGGCAACCAAAACCAGCTAGCAAATCCAATGCAAAATGCAAGACATGTCCAACTCACTGTCCATCCATCCAATATGATCCAAAGGGGGGGTTAGCTCAAGAAACGCCTTTAAAATCTCTCATCGTTCAGCGACAAGGGTCCACACGGGAACCGATAAAATCCAAGCATATGAGACCAAAGAAAGAAAGAAAAAGAGAATGGTTCACGCAAGAAAACACCAAAAAGCGAAAAGGCACGCGGACCTGTTCTTTTGCAAAAGGAACAGAAGTATGGATTAAATAACACGTTTTTCGAGCTGGTAAACCGTATAATTTTCATAAAACTTCTCTACACATGATTATTTTTTTAAAGAAAGTATTTTATAGTAGAAGTTAGTTAATTTGTTTGTGTCATGAAATAGTGATGGTAAAATCAATTTAGCTATTCAGTCATTCAGCTGTTCTGAGGGGAAAAAATGCCCTAGCACCAACCCTAGATTTTTCATATTTTGATCATTCTAGAAAACTTATTCTACAAATAGACGTCTAAACAACTTATTCTAGAAATGATTATTTTCACAGTGGCAACGTCGGCGTTGTCGATGATGCCAACGTCGGCGTTCATCGGCGCGAGCGTTTTTGGTGCCGATGACCTATTTGTAAAAAAATTCAAATATATTATTTTCTACTGCAAATAGATCCTAGGTGTCAATGACATTGCCGATGTCCTCCTTTATATTTGTGACTTAGCTTTCACCGAGAGGCGAGGGGGACATTACCAACGTCGTTAGCGCCGTCATATTGGACAATGATGCCAATAACACTAGCGTCACGGAAAGAATTATTTCTAAAATAAGTTTTTAGAGATCTAATTATAAAATAAGTTTCTCAAAACGATCCAAATGTGAAATCCAGAGCAGCAGCCGGGAAAGCAGAGAAAGAGAGAGAGAAGGGAGTAAAGTTAAAG